TTCCTTTGTGAAATAAGCATCACAAAACATCTCAATATTCTCCCTTTGAGAACTTATTGCTGCTGTTGCTACATGAACACAAGGGATAAGTCCTTCAAGCACCTTCCTATACCTGACACAATTGTGATCTTTACTATAAGTCCTTACTTTAAAAGTAGGCTGATTTGGTAAAGGAGATGCATGAATCCTCCACTGGTAGCCGTCAACAACGCACTCAACGGTAACTCTAGTCCTCTCATTTTTCTTCCTTATTACTTTTATCCCTGTCTTTATTATATAATCCTTCAATGCATTTCTAAACAAGTCAACATTTCCAAACAACATCCCCACACAAAAGTCCCAATCAGTGTTTCAATCTTCAGGAACATTAAACTCCACTCCAAATCTTGAAGTATCACCGACATTGCACTTTCTTTTCCTACCCCTTCTATGTGTTTCATCCACTTTAGCTTCAATTTCCTCAAAATCTGTACTACTAACATATCCTTCATCCCCTGATTGATAATCCAAAAACCCATCGTCACTGTTTTCATCTAACTGTGTGTTGATGGTATCATCATTGTACTCATAACTAACATTAGGGGCATCATCACCCTCAACTATCTAGTCATCATCTTTCATCACCAGCACCCGTATGTTTATCCCCATTTACATAATCAACTTCATGCCTATTTGCATCCCTATCATCATTTTTAACATTACGTTCATTGTCATCAACATTAGGCTCTTCACCTATTCCTACATTTGGAGGAGGTGGGACTCTCCCCTAAGACCCAACATCAGCATTAACAAATACAGGTATCTCCTTACAATTTCTATACAAAGAAAACATTTTCTATAATTGTTCATCGCCATCAAGTACAAGTTTTCCATTACCATTTGGCCTATCAACTGTAATAGCAATCATTACCTTCGATAAACTATCACCCATAAAAACATTGGTAACTTCTGCAACATCTGTTACCATATCCATACAACAATAACTATCAGGGTCGACCCTATTAATGGTGAAAATAGAGTTGTTAAAATGAACAATAATGTCATGCTCCTGCTCGTCCATTTCTACAGAACCTTTAAATGGCCAAAAAATGAAAATAGATGAGGAAGGAGTGATGGACAACAATGTCTCTTACTAGGTGACTAAAACTTGAAAAAGAGACGTGCCAACATAATGAAAAATGAGGCTCAAGATCAAATCTAAATGGGTAAATTACATAGACAAATCTAAATATGTGCCAAACCTGTGATGGATTGAAGAGTCAGAAGAAGATGCCTTAAACGAGATGCTTTATAGAAGATGAAGAGCCAAGATGCCTTAAACGAGATGCTTCGTAGAAGATGAAGAGTCAAATCCAGACTTCGCCCTTTCTAGGTTAGGTTAAAGGTTTGTTTGATCTACATCCAAACAGCATTAGAGTGGCTTACAGATTTGGGTTTTTTGAAATATGTAAAAATGATGGGGATTAGGGTTAGGGTTTCTCTGATTCAAGCACGGTGAAAATGGTTTAGGGTTTGGATTTCTCTGATTTTGGAGTGAGGTATGCATGATTTGGAATTGAATCGACGCAGGAATCTCTCAAAGATGATTTGGGGTTAAATCGATTCTCTCTTCAGATTTGGGTTCTCTCTTGCCTTCTCTGTAGATGTGACGAATGGTGTTTTGGTTTAGTGCGAAGATATTTTACAAGACTATTATAGTCATTTTGATTTTGAACTGAATTATCAATTTTTTTTGTGACAACAAAAGTAGGGTAAGATTGTCATTTTACATTTTCTGTTAGCAGCGTTTCATTTCTAACGTTGTTGGGGACCGAGTGTCATTTGTCAAAAGTCAGGGGATGTTCGTGTAATAAACCAAAAAGTCAGGGGGTGTCCATGTAATTTAACCTTAAAATTAAATAGGAGACCTAATTGTATTCAACTTGAACAAACCAAGAGTTCTTACCATAATTAAGTCTTGAGACTTCACAAATCTAATTTTTGTCTAATTTAATGTTGAACAAAAATTTAGATCAAATCAAAGTAAGATTTGAAGAATTTTACAAGAACAATATGAACTAGTATTTTAAGTTCTACTTCAAGACTATCATTGTTATTCACCATGGATGAAAAACCTTTATCGTAGCCACCTTTGGACCAAAGATCTAACTCTAACTCGTTCCACCCTTAGTTCAATCTTGAACCTTAAACAAATTAAAAACTAGTTTTTAAAGAAAAACTTGTTACTACTTTTTGTAGCTACGTTTTTTCAATTTTAAAATCTGATTTTAAAACAATTTCAAATACATGGATCCATTCATATCTCATATTAAACATGTGAAAAAATCAAAATTTATTTTGTAGAACACTCATACAAAATAAAATATGTTATTTGAATTATACAATCCCTAGTATTGGTTAATCCCATTAACATGCTATAACAATAATCACATCAAGTTTGTATTAAATCATGTGTAATACAAACTGAGAAACCTTAGATCTATAGAGAAGATTAAGGATTATCTCTTGAAGTGTGATTTTAACAATTTTCAGGCTTCTCAAAAAATTTTGAATCTTCTAATTTGAATTTGATCTTTCCCTCAAGGCTCGCAATTGTTTGGCGACTCTTGGTATCCACACGAATTGAAAAACTTGAATGAAATTCCTCAACTTTTCATGAACTATTCGAGAGAGAATGAATGTAGATTTTTTAGAGTTATTTTATCATCTATTCACCTCCAATATGAAGGTATTTATAAAGCCTTAGAAGACTCTAATCCTAATTTGGATCTAGTTGCAATTATCTCATAATTACATAAAACTCCTTTATTAACTATTAATTATAATAAAGTCTCTAATTAACTCTTAATTAGGTTTTTACCCCAATTAACTCTTAATTGGTTTTCTCTCATTTATCCTTTAGTTCCAATTAATTTTATTATATGTGACCCTATAGGTTCAAACATATCCAATTGTAGGCATTCAATACTAACTATAAGTAGCATCTCACATTAGAACTCTTTCTAATTTAGCTTGAATTAGAACTATTCTAATTCTCCCTTTATGAAGAACAATTAATATATTATATTAATTTCATTGGGCTTCTACTAATTATGACTGATACCTAACTGCATATCATGATTAACCTCTAGATAGCACAAAGTAGGTAAAAAACACATTCAGTCTATAGTTATCATGCAATTCAATCATTCTATCACATAATGTCTAAATTGAATTACTAGGGTATAGAATTACTGTCAAACCCCTAACCCAATCTTATGTGTTCAATCTTAGGACTATGACTCCTAATGATCAATTAGAAATTTTTTCTATTTGTCATTCTACCTTAGCCAAGGACTCTTTGAATCATATCTTAGAGGATCACAAAGGACATTCTCCTTTTAATTACTTAGTGTGATAGATTCCATATTGTACACTCATAAGTCTCTATGCATGTCTAAATATGTCTCACAATACATATCAAAGTTACATGGTTAATTTATGAATAGGTTAATTTATGAATAAGTTATACAGTTAAAACATAGAAGTTCATGCACAAGACAACCATGGTGTCTCAAGTTTAAGGATCAGTTCCATAATTATAACTTTAGGGTTTAACATTGACAGATATTTTATATGAAAATTTCTACATTAGCCAATTGTCACATTCAGTGTACTGGTTCTCTAGCAAGCACCCATGCACTTGCTTTAGTGTTTCTACACTAGTGACTTGGACTAGTCATCTCATATCAAATATGAGTAAACATAGTGTATGCTAGTCTATTCGGATTACATAGTGTCCATATCATAGTCCTATGACCATTTAAGAGTTAAGCACTAAAAAGTATAAGTATCCTCTTCTCAATCCCTTGAGAACTCATCTTCTTAACTAACACAATATGGACTATATCATGTATATTAAAATGAAATATAGTAGAAACATTATAAATTAACTTGCCCTTTTATTTAATTAAGTAATGAATGTTGTTAGTACAACCCCAAAATATCATATATATCATTGATCTTAGAGCATACTACTAATACATAGAACAACAAATAAACACACAGTAACATAACTAATGTCACAACACAGCCTATTTACATAACTATTAACGACATGAAAGTTAATTACAACATCAGATTTTTATGATCAATTCATAGTGACAGGTCATACACAACAAAAATCTTATTCTAGGTCCCAAAACATAATCTAACAATGGATCTAACAATTGAAACAAACAAAAAACTGAACCAAAAAAATTCCTAACCATATATATTTAGCTGAAATCAAAAACCATATGCTAAATTCAAAAAATGAAACCACAATTATGGCAAACGAACACAATAACAGAAACGGTTGGGTGATCACAATGAAAACAACTTATCTTTCTTCAAACAATATACAAATATTAAAATGCTAATTCAAAGTAATTTTGAAGAACATTAAGCAAATACACATTTATTCATCATACCAATATATCAAATTCAAACCAATTTTGAAGAAAATCTTTCATGAATAATAATAACAAACTACAAAAAAAAAAACAGAGCACCTCTATACCAACTACGAATTTTAATGAATACCTAAGTTGATGGAGGTACAAACAAAACACAGAGCTACATTGAATTAATGAGGTCCAATTATGAAACATTTTCTAATTTTAATAGAATTTGAAATTCAAACAATCATCAATAGAACAATATCGGTATAAGCTCCTAATTAAACGCTAATGAGCCGAATGACAAAAAGATTAATTAAAAAAAAAGCGCGTGAGCTAAAGACTTATTTACCCAAAATACTCCAACAATTGTCCTTACACATTTTTTCGTGTCCTTATTGCTTAAAACAGATAGAGAAATAAGACTTGTTTCCAATTTTCCAAAGGTAAAAATGTACGATGGGTAGATGTAGCGTTTTCGAATTATGGAAGTGAAAAATGAAAAATGCTTTGATTTCATTTGACAAGACATACTAGCATTATTCAGACTGACAATAACAATAGCACTGATTTCACTTGACAATAACAATAGTCTTTGTAAGTTTATGGAGTATGCCAATTGGACCTAATTAACTAGACTAATATTATTTGGACTTAAAAATATGACTTAATTTGTTGACTTAATAATGTGTCTTTATTAAAATTATTGGATCAACGCCAAATTTTAATGTTTGATGAAACTCATGATCTATACAAAGGTCATAGTAAAATAAGTTAGTAAATTAGATCTCAATAGTATTACTCAATTAACTAATTTAATTCATTATAGTCGTTGGTTTGACAATAAATCTCAATGTTGAAATAGTTTATTGTCAATCAAACAATTACAATGAATTTATATCAACAACTTAATACCGGCAGAGGACTCGCATTCGGGGCCTCGAGGGTGAAGAAAAGCCGGTTTGTGGCTTTTGGAAACAAGTTTTTGTAAAATTTTGGTTAAATGCCATTTTGACATGTAAAATTACGCAAATGCTTGTAATAGAACTTGTATGAATCATGTATAATATAAAAAATGCTATTATACATGTTTGTGATGGATTTAGAAATGTTTTGAGTGGATTCGAAATCGAAAACTGATGAAACAGGGAAAGATGGACTCAGCTTATTGGTACATGTACCGGTACGGCGAGGTCCAAAGAGTTCAGCGTACCAGTTCGGTGAGGTCCAGTGAGCCATGCGTCCCCGTACGCGTACCGGTATACTTTGGCAGATTTTGAATTTTTTTTTATTTTTTTCTTCTAGGGTCTTGGGCTATGCATCATTTAGTTCCAATGATACAAATGAACCTTAAATGAGATATATTGGGGTATATTGAACCTCGATAGGATTAAATGAATAATGAAACATGGGTGTTACGTGTGAGTTTGAAATTCCGGTAATGGAATAATATTAGTGTGATGTCGGATCCAACGGCACTCACGGACATTTCCGCGGGTTGACGAATGGTCAACGGGACTCCCGATTTTTGGGCGTCACATCTCTAGAAGTTAATTATAGCATTTATAGGTGGTGGTCACTTGCATTTATAGTTTAATTAGGGAATAAGGAAATTCAAATTCTTGAGGGATCGCTCGAGCTG